TTCTTGTCTGTGTGCATGAGATTGTCAGGCCCTTTAGCCTCCCATACAGACTTTGTGACAGTTGTGTTCTTGAGATGAGTGGCTGAGTGGAGAGATTATAACAAAAGAGAGGAAGGACTCAAAATTCTATATAACAAAACCTTGAAAGTGCTTCTCTTTTTTGCTACCAAGACTGCTTCCTAGAACTTTTGGGAAATGGCATTCTGGAATAATTTTGTTCTATTCTATATGCAGATTCTCTTTTCCTGGGTGTCTCCATCTTTCCTGTTTCTATTAATATTTATCTGCTTTTCTCTTCTTCCTGCTTCCACAAGCCATGAGGACATGCTGGTTCCCTTTGTCCTCTTGGCTTTCTTCTCTCCATCTCCTTCTTGGCTACTTTTGATTTTTTTTTTTCTTTACTGGACCAGACATGGATTTTCCCTGGGAACTTTTAGTAATCTATGGAAAAGATTGTTAAAAGCATCATGTCAGATGTTCAGTTGCTTGGTAACTCAAGGAACCTTTGCCAAATTTATGTTGGAGAATTAAACAAAATGTCCATTCTCCACTGTTTTTAGTGCTGGGCAGCATCATCTTGCCAGCTCAACTATGTCTGAGGAGATCCCCATGTAGGCACAGACAGGAGCCTTGACCTTTACAGAATGATGGGGCCAAGGGCAGAGGCTGAGCCCTCCTCCCTAGCCTGAAGAGACCCTTGGGCAGGGCCTCTGCAGCGGTGTAGGCGCCTTTGCAGAGCAAAGAAAACTGAAGAATCACTGCTTCTTGGTGAGGTGACTTGGAATTCTGAGTTTCTCTATTTCTTCCTCTGTTCTGCTTTATGATCTCTGTCATTATCTAATTTCTTAGTGGTTTTCAGAAAACCCAGTTTTAGAATGCTAGGCTTTTTAACAAATAGTATGAGGTAACCCCTGAGCAATGGCATAGAACTCACTCTTGTTGCCAATCTCCACAAGCACACAAGAAACAAAATCCCCTAAGGTTTTGGGTTGGGAGATACCGATCTGAGCAAAATAAGGCTTCTATAGTGGTAGGTAGGATGAATCTGGGCAAAATTAAAATTCTGATTTTAATGCCTGTTAAGAACCAAAGCACCAGAAATACCCTAAGCTCCCACAAAGAGTTCCTTGCTGGGCTGCAGATGATATTTATTGCCTGACAATGTGCAGAAAAGTGCCAGCAGAGTAGGCTCCTTCAGCACAGTATCAGGATCCTCTATTATGTGCACAAGTCAAAGACTGTGTAAATCTCTGAAACTAAGCACAAGGGAGATGGAGAAGTTTCTAAGAGGAGCTGCCACAGTGTGAATAAAATGAGTATTTGGCACACTATGGCTGGGTGGGGAGTGGGTGGAGAGTAGGATCTTATCTAAGACTCAGGCTGACTGGGAGCCAGGATTATTCAAGTTGAAATGAACAGGGATAGAGGGAAAAGAACAAAAGTCTATTGAAGGTTATAATAAAAATTTAATGAGTCTTCAAATGTTGCATTATGTTATAAAAGTAGTCTTTGTATCATTTGCAAATTAAACTTTGAAATGATTGATTTGAGTTGGGCTAGACATTTAAAAATGACTACAAGAAAGAAAAATGTTTCAGATTAGCAACAATATTTGTATTAAAAACTTTTTAGTTTTTTTTGAGTAACAGACAGGATGGTTTTAACTGTTGAGAAATCATTTGATTTCAACTGGATGAATGAGGAGTCTCTCGAAAGATAGTGAGAAATAGGGCATCGATAGCAGTTTATCCTAAGGATGAAAATAAATTGAGTGTGACTTGATTTTGGCTCCTTATCAATGTCAGAGCTGCTTTACCCTGCTGTATTTTAAAAGTTATCTCCAAATTGGTATATGTAGGGGAGGAAGATGATGTTTGTGCTTTTACTCTAGTGGTCTTGGAGTGCTAATGAGGGTCTTGGTGAATAGGGAGGCTCATGTCCTTGGAGAGCTTGATGTTGGTGAAAGGCTCATGTGCAGATGATAAATTGATGTAAGTAAGCAAGATTAGTTCATATACGCAATCAAGATTTCCTTCCCCTTTGAAAATGCTAACTACCCAGATTACTTGGGGTGTCTTTGAAAAGGGTTAGGTACAGAGGGGAAAACTTTTGGGTAAATGGATGCTCTGTCAGATATCTCAGGAAGCTTGTTCTTCCTATTTTCCTGGCATTGCTGAGGCTTAGGACTGTTTTGGGATCTGCAAAACTATGTGGATAAGGGGGGAACCCAGAACTCCTGAATGGAAACTGACTGATTAAAGGGAAAATATCTTTTTTTTCTTTAAAGCTAGACCAAATGGGATAAAGCTATAAAAGCAGATTTGGGTAACATTCTATGTGATCCTAGAAAATCCTTTTCAAAATGTTGTAACCCTTTACTACAGTTTCCTGCAGTACTGTAGTAACCCTTTACTACTTTACATGTTCAATGGAACAGGTCTCAGGAAACTTGGAGTATCAATTCCTTTCTGGGATGGAAAGTTGACAGATGTCCCCTCAGGTTTCTTTCTACTCTGAAGTTGTGTGGCTCTCATGAAAGGCTTTTTTCTTACCTGTGAGATGTACTTCACATGTTAACATGGCATAATCACAAAGATTTTCTTCCTTTTCTAATTTCAAACAAACATTAAAATTAGTAAACAGTCTAAAAAATAATAAAATTCTGCTTGTTCAAACTTATGTCAGATGCTCATCTTTTAAAGACTAGAGCCTTAGCTGTATCTTCAGAAGGGCCCTCCTGGTTACTCACTGACCTCTTTTGAGCATGTATGAATTTTATAAGATTATTATTTCTATTAATAAGATAATAAATATTCCTTGAGTGAGAAGAGCAAACTACATAGAACTTATAAAATAACTCTCAATTAATTTTTCATAGACAATGTTAATGATAGATTTTTAAAAATTCTTTTGGTATACTTTTAACATTAAATGTTGTATTTTAGAATTTTTTTTTAAGTTTAGATCTTTTAAAAAGTAAAATAATCTTAGTTGAGAAAAGTGAAATTGCATTATGCTTCCTAAATAGCTAATTAATTCAAATATAAATTACAAGTATATCTATACTCATTTATTCATAACTTCAATTAATATTAATGTCTAAGAAACTGATTTGAAGTGCTGAGTATGTGGGAGGGACCTGTCAACTGTGAGCCTCACAGTATTCTCATCTAGGAGTGATTTTTGCATCTCTGGGACATTTGGGAATAACTGAAAACATTTCTGATTATCATGAATGGAGAGGTGGGAGGGAGTATTACTGGTATCTTGAGGCTACAGATGGTGCTAGACATTCTATAATGCACAGAGTTCCTCACAACCAAGAGTTATCTGCTTCCAAAATCCAAAGGTTGAGAAATCTTCTCACAGGGTAGTATAGGCTGTTTACTGATGAAATTATTGCCCCAACAATATATTTAGGTCTTTGTTTCAGATGTGGTCATATTTCCAACCTCTTAGCGCCATGTTGATAGTATCCCAGGAATTGAGAGGAAGGTGAGATTCAAGCATTCAGTAGTTATATGTTGACCTAATTTCCCAGTTTACAGTCAGGTGCCCTTGCCTCCAATTGTGTTTGGTATCTCTAGTCCAGAGACTTTCTATTTTCCTCTCACAGAAAGAGGCAGATTCCCAATGTTGTGAACATGGACATCTAGATGACTTTCTAAATAGGCTTTCAGGCAGTTATCCTATCTGTAGATTCACCTCACGCCACTTCCAAGAGGTCAAGATATCATTATTTCTGGTTTCCATCTGTGGATTGGATTGACTCAGTTTCCCCATTGCCAATTTAGAATTTAGTGTTCTCATACTTCTAAATTGGTTGTATCTTGCCCATTTGCTTTCTGGTCTCCAACATTCTCATAGCATTATTACCTTTTATTCTCTTCATTTTTTAAAAAATTCCTTTAGTGATTTTTTGGTGGAATTTTGAGAGGGAACAAAGGCTAATGAGAGGAGACACAAATAAATAGAAAGAATTGTGTGTTTGTGAATTAGAAGAATTGATATTGTTAAAATGGCCACATAGTCAAGGCCATTTAAAGATTTAATGTGCTATATCTAAATTCCATTGTATTTTTTGCAAAAATAGAAAACAATATCTTAAAGTTTTGGTGGAAGCACAGTAGACCTCAAGTAGTCAAAATAATCTCAAGGAAGAAGAACAGATCTGGGGCATAACACTTCCTAATATTTACCCATAATACAAAGCCATAGTAATCAAAATACTGTAGTACTGGCATTAAAAAACACAGACCAGTAAAATTGAATGGAGAGCTCAGCAATAAAACTATGCATAGGCAGTCAATTAATATTTGACAAGGAAACCAGGAAAAAGATAGTCTAAGAAAAAGATAGTCTGCAATATATGGAATGGGAGAAAATATTTACAAACAATGTATCTGATAAAGAGTTAATATTTATACTACATAAGGAACTTAAACAATTCAATAGCAACCCCCCCCCAAATAATCCCATTAAAAATGGGCAGAAGATCTGAATAGACATTTTTTTCTGAAGGACAAATTCAAATGGCCAACTGACACATGAAAAGGTGCTTACCATTACTAGGCAAATACAAATCAAAACCACAATGAGGTATTATCTTACAACTGTTCAGATGGTTATTATCAAAAAGTTAAGAGATAACAAATGTAGATGAGGATATGAAGAAAAACCCTAGGGCCCTGAAGGTGGGAATATAAATTAGTGCAGCCCCTGTGGAAAACAGTAGGCAAGTTCTCCAAAAACTTAAAAATAGAGCTACCTGCTCCCACCTCTGGGTATGCTGTCCAAAAGGAATGAAATCACTATCTTGAGATATCTGTATACCAATGTTTTCTTTGCCATTAGTCACAATAACTAAGACATGGTAGTAACTTAAGTGTTCATCATCAGATGATCTCATATGTACCAAGTACTAAATATTTCAGTTAAAAAAAAAACAACTGTTAGAACCTAATAGGTTAAAAAAATGTGATTCTATTTGTATATTTCAGCCATAAAAATGAAGGAAATCCTGCCATTTGTTACATCGAGGATGAATCTTGAGGGTTAAGTGAAATAAGTCACACAGAGAAAGACAGTATGATCTTAGATCTGGAATCTAACAACAACCAAACTCATAGAAGGTAGGGGCTTTCTGGGTAGGGAAAATGGGGAATGTTGTTCAAAGGGTACAGACTTAACAGTTTTAGGATGATTAAGTTTTTGAAATTTAATGTACTGCATAGTGACTGTAGTTAACAATGCTGTGTTATATGCTGAAAATAAAGGCAGTAAATCTTAAGCATTTTCACACACAAAAATGTAACTGTGAGCTACTGTGTTAACTAACCACATTGTGGTTAGTGTATCACTTCACAATAGATGGCATGTATCAAATCATTAAGTTCTTTTAAGTATACACAATATTACATGTCTCAATAAAACTGGGAAAGAATGGAAAAAAGTACAAAGTCTTGCTCTTTATGTTGACGATTAATTTTTCTCCAACTTATTTCTCTTTGTAGTTCAGTTGAGAAGTTAGTGAACAGAGAAACTGCTAGTTCTTCCTGTCCTGGACTGAAGTTTCTGAAGGGTGGTGAATCAATGGGTGTTTACTGACTAGTTTTTCAGAGTACACAGGAGAGTGTTAAACAAAGTGAGATGTCATTAAATAAATTTCCCCCCTAAACTATTGTGAATATAAAACTACCAGCGCAATATATTTCCCTTCCTTCTTATAAACACATATTCTATTTTCTTTAAAATTTTCAAGTTATTTTGTACATTATGGTAGGTGCAGAGAAAAGCTATATATTTCTCAGCTGTTTGTTTTTCACATGTTAAAAAAATGAAAAAAGTCTAAACTCTTCCCTTATATTCATTAGCTTAAAAAGTTGTTCCAAATGCTCTTATTTAAAAAATTGAGTCAGCTGCATATTAATGAACTACTTTAGATTGTTTGTGGTTTTCAAGCATATGAAGTGAACATTTCTTATTAAGGAAACTCTCTGAAAGGACCTTGAGTATGCAAGTCAATGTCTGAATCATACAGAACTGTTAAGAATGATAGAATCAGAGCAAGGGCACATTGAGTAGAAGCTAAGACAAACAAACTTTGTAAGTGACTACAAATGACTAAGTAAGACCAAACATAGCTATGTCGTGTGATGTGTGACTGGATTGTGAAGCATTGATTGAAAAATTATAAATGGATGATTTCTAATGCCTCTTGGAAAAGGACCAGTGTTTCTGAGTGTCACATCAATTGTAACTTGCTAACAAAAAAAGACATGAAGAATTAAAATAATAAGCTTATAGGGCAGCTTTCAAGCATCCGAATTACACTTGGATAACAGCTCACATGCTTAGACAATAAAGTCCTGCCTTAGACTTAACCTAAGAAGGGTAAGAAGTGATAGAATTGGAAATGATGATTTTTCTGTGAAAATGCTGCTCCCTTCCTTCTATACCATGGCTACACTTGTTTAGTGGTAAGTGATAAAAACAAATGACTGGAGGATTTTTGCTTTCAACATAGGCTTTCTGCAGAGGAGAGAAAATATGGATTGTCCTGTTAAACTGTTCAGCATTTTGCCTTTTATGCTTCTGATATAGAGGGGACTTAACATTAGAAAAAATTTTTTTTTCTCTCTTTGCTAAAAGGAAGATCTGGCAAAGCATCTGGTAATATTCAATCTGTGATTTTCTATGGTTGATGAAAGATCTGCTAGGTTCTTTTTAGAGGCTTTTAGATATCCTCTTATACTCAGCAGTTTTTATCACTGCTATTTATTTCACTAAGCAAGAGAGTAAATAATTTATTAAGAAAAAGACAAAAAATCAAGGTAAATTTATGCTAAGCTAGTCCTCGAGCCATGTTTTCATTATCTTCTAGCAGCATGAGAACAAAAGTGTTGATGGGCTTTACTATCTGTCAACTTTTCACTAGAAAATATCTATTTTATTTTTCTTTGAAATTACATGCTATATATCTTTTATTTGTTCTAGGAATTGTTTTTCAAAACACCAATTCATGTTGGAAGAAGTGTTACTTTATTAGATACCCACCTACAATTTAGATGGCTGGATAGGCAGAATTGCTTGACACTATTTAATGAATTTATGCATTTTAAGCAAAAACATTGAGAATATTTGAAAGAGAGTCTACCTTGCTGAAATTGTCTCTTTGAAAAGCAGACATAGAGTAAATGTTTAATTATTTTTTCTGTAATAAAGGACATTCAGAGGAAGGATCTCTGGCCTTTTGGATGTTAAAAGACTTTGTTGTCTACTGTTAGTATTTTTTAATTTGAATCTTCTAAAGAAAAACCTTTTAGTCTGTCTGGAAGGCTAGGGTGAGTAGGAAATAATAGTGAATAGGAAATAATGCTTTTGAAAATTAAGGTCTATGAGAATTCATCACCCATAAAATGCCTTCTGTTTATGAAAGAACAGTAGTATGGGTAGTTATTTGATCTTTTCTCATGTTGCAGCATGAACAATAAAAACAAATGTAATGTAAGTTGAAAGATTTGGCTTACATTCATCATTTGGTATTTTAGCCTGATTCAGTTTCCTTCAAAAACAAAATTTATTCACTCTAGAATATAACTACCTGTGGGACAAATAATGAAATAACCTTACCTTCAACTTGATCACTTAATCACTGTGGCTTTCATCATGAGATCAGATTTAGTTTTTAGGAATTAGATCTTTCTTAAAGGGACTGTTTAAGTGAAACAATACAACATCATTATTGAACTGAGTCATAGTGAGCATTTTATATTAACAGTATTTTAGCATGTGGGTAGGCACAATTTTAAACTTAACATTTTAATTGAGTGCCCTATCCAGTCTTGTGACATTCTCTACCAAAAACCAAAAAATCATTTTTATAGTCAAATAAATTTGGTAATGAGTGCACCTGATATTCCTATCTTCTATTTGAAGATGCTCCATGTACTTAGAAGTAAAACTAATTTTTTAAAATCTATATGTTTTTAAGTTTTATGTTCGTACACAAGAATCAAGTAGTTCTTAGGATTGTTAAGACAACAGTCCACAGACCCTCTTCCATTTCTTATTCTCCAGAAGTAAACACCATATTTTAACTGATTCATTTGTTAACCACTCCATCTTGAAACAGTATAATGATATGACTACTTACTGAGTATATTTTCTTTATTTACTCCATTGCTCTCTCATTCTTTCTCACAGGGGTGTACACACACACACACACACACACACACACACACACACACACACCCATTCTTCCTGTAAAATGGTGTTGTGATTTGGATTATATCAAACTTCAGTGTTTCTATTATTAAGAATATGTAAATGCAAGTTCTATCTTAGGGACTTTCCAAAAGTCAGCTCATTAACATAAACCAAGGTATGGTGAAAGTGGCTTGTTAGGAATAGTTAGAAACTTTTTTCTTTTATGACTATGGTGCTTAGGAAATTCAAGGTCTTAAGAACCTTGTGCCAGAAAATGAAATATATATATTTCTTATTATAAATCTCATTATCATAGTTGCTGTTGAGAAATCTGAAGCAACTTAATTTATGATTCTTTGTTTTAATTTAAACCTCATTTTCCTAATATTGTGAGATTTTAAATAAAGTGCCTGATGAGTATCTATTTTCATATACTAAGGGGGTCTTTTTGTTCTAGAAACCCCAGTCTTTCCTTTTCTGAAAAGATTTAATTTGTGTTTTTCCCCTTTCTCTTTACTTTTGTTTCATAAAATCCCATTTTTCAGATGCTGGACCTCCTGGATTGGTTACCAAAGATTTTATCTCACCTCTCTTACTTTCTGTCAATTTATCATTTTTTATTTTCTGTGAGGTTTCCTCATTATTTCAGTCATTCTATTGAGAAAATGTTTTCATTTTCCCAAAGTTCATTTTTGTTCGACTAATATTTCTTTTTTAAAAATAACATTCCTTTCTTATTTCATGAATACAAATATATTATTTCTTATAGTTTTTCTTTTTTCACCAAAATCATCTTCTCCCTGCATAATCTGTTTCCTCTACGTTGAGGTTTTGTTTACTTGCATTGGCTCTGTTATCAATACCACTTCCAGAGGTACTAATTCTCAGCTAATCCTTGACAGCTATATCATATTTAGGAAGTAGAAGACCAGAAAGCTGACTGGATGTGTTGAATGTATGGGTGGGTCTGTTGACTGTGAATGTCACTGTAGGGTTCTGGATGTGAAAATTTCAGTATGTTGTCTTTCTGGACTAATCAGGTCTCTTAGATCTTTAGTCTCTTGATTAGAAGATAAAATCTTTGGGGAGTCAAGCTGGGGAAGAATACTGGGGCATCTCAGCTGTCAGAAATGCCTATGTTAACTTAATCCTCCTGTTTTTTAGGTATTTCTCTTATCATCTGTGGCCAGTGTCCTTAAGTCTAGAGACCTGTTCATTGATTCTTCCTGGAGTCTTCTGCCAGAATTGGGAGTCAGAGAAACCACCCAGCAACAGAGTAAGGAGATAGCTAGAGTTCTAATGGAAGCATTTTCAGTCTTCTTGATAGAGCATTGCCCCTTTACCCAGAGTTAGGCCAAACTCATGGTTAAGGTTAGCATCCTCTAAGACTATCACACCTCCCAAGCCTTCTGACACTAGTTAAAATTTCAGGGGCCCTCAGGACATCCATCACAGACTGCTTCAGATTTGATAATTCAATAGAACAACTCACAGAACTCAGGAAAATACTTACGATCATAGCTTTATTATAACATAGGGATGGAAATCACAGCCAAAGGAAGAAACAAATAGGGTGGAATATGGTACTGAGAGGCTCCAAACGCAATGCTTCCATATCCCCAGAGATGCATTACCCTCAGGTCCTTGATATATGACAATGCTCATGGAGTATTGCCAACTTGGTAAGCTCATGTGAGCTTCAATATCCGTAGTTTTTATTCGGACTTCATTACCTGGGCATGATTGATTGAATCATTGCTCACAGCCTCAACCCTCTAATTACAGGGTTGGTCTTCCTGTTTAGCAAGGTGAATCATCTTGTTAGCATAACTGGCAAGTGTGGTCTGAGAGGTGCCCCCCCAATGAATAACAAAAATACTTCTATCATTTGGGTAACTTTAAAGGTTTAGAGGTTATCTTCCAGGAGTTGGGACAAAGGGAAGAGCTTTTTTGGGGGCGGGGGGTTAAAGTGAATTCTTCTCTATACACTCCTCTACCTTCACTTCCAGAGGAACTTTGTTCCACCAATTTCAAATTAAAGGATTCGGAAGTAAAAGCAGGTTGGTTTTCTGAACTGCTGGCTTAGGATTTAACTTTCTTATGTTTAACTTTCAAAAAACTTGCTTCCCTTTCCAATCTTTAGGGTATACTTTAGAAAAAAATCCAACCCAAAAAGTCCTTTGAAGTAGTGTTAGTAGGGTTTCTGGTGGGAGCAAAATTAGATAAATGTGTCTAGTTGGCTATCTCTACCTATGAATTTCCTAGTACTGACAATTTATTTATGCATGACAGCTTTTTGTAGAAAACCTATTAACATCTGGTAGACAAAGCACTGAATTAGCAGACATTTTAATTTTGCTGCATTGATACAGGTGACTAATTTAGGCTTTAGAATCTTTAAAGATGACTCTTTAGAATTCATTTCCATTCTACTTTATACATTGAGGTCACAAAAGATGAATAGTGTTTTATCACTTATTGACTGGGGGTGAGAATATAGGGATAGAAGAGGATCTTTTAACCTCACTGTTATCTATTTTTACAATGTTTGAAGTAATATATATTACTTATAAATTATTTAAAACATAATTTTAGAACAAGGAAAAAATACCGCCTAAGATGAACCTTAAAACTTTTCCACTTCAAATCAATGATGCTAATATTGTGAGTGGAATTAATGGAGAACTAAAAATGGAGAATTCTTTTTATATTTAATGGTCTGGAGAGGACAGGGCACAGAACTCTTTCAACCACTGATCTAAAACTGTAGTCTCCCTTTCTCTCCCTCTTTTTCTTTTTTTCTGGGCTAGAAAGAGGTTCTTAAGGTTATTTTCTATTTTAATAAAGTCTGTCTTTACTATGAAAGGATATTGATCCTCATTTCTCATTTCATTTTCTTGGTAAGTAACAGTGCCATTGATTTTTCTGTCCCTTTCTAACACATGATTGTAATCCTATTTCTTTTCTTTTAGCATCTTTTTAGAGTTCCTGCTCCCTACTCCCTATAATATTGATTCTAAACTCCATAGTGTTACATTCAAAGACTTCTTATAGTATGGTGACAGCTTAACTTGTGGCCTGATTTTTTTTTTTTTATCCTAGTTCCCATCATGCTCCCATTTCCTCTCAACACTGAATTATTTGCTAATATTTCCAACTTCTTGGTGCTGAGAATTCTTTGTTCATGTAGTCCCCCTAGCCTGGAATTCTTTTCCTACCTCTCTTCTCTCTGCCCATTTAAATTCAACCTTTTTTTTCCTGAGCCCATCTCAAATGTTACCTTCTTCAGTAAGGGTTCCCCCAAACTTGCCTCCATCCAGAATTAATGCCACTCCATTAGGGCCTCAAAGGGCTTTGTCCACATCCTGCCTGTGCTGTAATTATTAGAATGTGGGAAACAGAGGATGGAGGGAGAGAAACTGTTCCTATTAAGTTATAATTTCCTTGTGTGTAAATACGATGAGTCTCATATATACATAATTAGTTATATATGGTTGATTCTCAGTAATTTCAGCTGATTCAAAAGGGATCATGTTTCATTTTCTTTGTGTTAATGGCACTGGCAAAATCAGCAACTGTACTTCTGATATATTAGGGTTTTGCAAATCCATTTTATTTCAGGACATTTTCTTGAGCAGCAGAAAGGTGGCTGCCTAATGCTTAAAGGTGATTGCTGGCAAGTTGGGGTGGGGTTAAAAAACAGCAATACTCATTAGCACGTGATGGTCCACAATCATGACCATGGGCACCATTCTCAGCTAACTGACTGATGTTGCCAAATGAATCTCCGAGTGATAGGAACTGACTGCTGTAGTGGGGGAAAGAAAACAAGGAAGGCATGATGTCTCACTGACTCAATCTCAATGTCCCTGCCACAGGAGAAGGATCTGAATAAGCAAGGGGGGGTGATAGGAAGAGGACTTGAGGGAGGAAGATGATTGATGAAGTGTATTATGGCTGACAGAGGGCTTTATGTGCTTCGGGGAGGAGTTAGCAGGTGATTGAGGGGAGTCCTTGGAGAGGATACAGAGTCTCTATGATTAGCAGTATGTAATCAGCCATCTGCCTAGGGGCACAGCCATACACAAAGGACATGTTAAGGGGAAAGAGAGAGAGAGAGGAAATACCACTGAGAACTACCAAGAAGATCTTTTAAATGGTAGCAATTTGTCCAGACCCCACTATTTACATTCTGTTTCTTCCTGGTACACTTGAAGTTCTTCTCACTCACATCCCCTTTCAGGCTGCTTTGTTATGGTGAGAGGATTAGAAAATAAAACTAATCTGGGGTTACCATGGTTCTCTCACCCACCCACATTATTCTAGGTGAGTGCTGGAGAGTATGGGCCAGAGGGGAAGAAGTACAATGAGAAGGAGTCAGATTATGAAAACCTCCTTAAGAGCATCTTACAAAAGCCACTCTTTCTCCCTCCAGCCCTAACTCAAGTACAAATTTAACTTAATACCTAGTAGAACTCTTTAGCTCCCCTCTTTAAGAGTTTAAAGTCATTTAAAATTTCCCAATTCTTGACCTCACAAGAGGCCAGGGAGGTAGACAGGCAGTTAGATTTAAAAGTAGGTGATAAATTAGAGCCTTATTCATCTAGGTAGGTTGTGACATTTATTAATTAAGTGATTTATTATTGTTTTTGTGTTTTCTTCATGAAACTCAATTCTAGAATCCTGCAATTGAATATAATGTGCTCTTCTTGAGTTCATTTGTTTTTTCCTTAATGCAATCAAAGCATGAGAGCTAACTTTAGACAAAAATCAAAACATTCATGTGGAAGTTTTTTCCCTCCTTTCAAAATTTAGGGTCTCTGAATAGGCTCTGTGCAGAGTGTTTATAAGAATGTAAAAGAAAGAGCCCTCCCTGGTGGCGCAAGGGGTTAAGCACTGCACTATGAAGCAATCCGCAGCCTCTGCAGCACAGAGATTGATCACTGGCCGGCTAGGGAGAAACCACATGGTGAAGCAGACCTCTCCTGTCTCACCCCCTGCTCCCCTCAGCAGTGTAGTTCAGTCAGTCTACCTGTTCTGTTCCCCACTCTGTCTCTGGTGAATCCTCTCACCCTCCACATCTCTGACCTGTACCCCAGCTCTTGTATGAATAAATAAATAAATCTTTAAAAAAAAGAATATAAAAGAAGGAAATGAAGAGGTGAGACGGACACTTAGTGATGCATAAAGCAGTTTTCTCTATCTCAGTTTTGCAACATATGCTTTATAACAAATAGATCTGTTAATTTGACTAGAATTACGATTTAGATTCTCATTAGTCTTTTGTGGAGTAAGCAGGGCACCGAGAGAGATTGAGAGACTTGGGGTTGGTTTACCTGATTATTAAACTACCTTTCAAACTGCACACATGGTGATACTCTTGTTGGAATAGTTTCTAAGAAAAGTGAGAGGGCTGAATCTATTCAGCTCTGATAGGCTTTGTTGGCCAATTATGTTAACAAATTGCTATTAATTTACTTATAAATGTATCAATTTATCTTGCTTTAGGGTTGCTCAATGTTCAGGGTATACAATTTTGGTTCTTCTGAGCTGTGACTAGATGGGTGCACTCAGTCCACTCAAACACTCCTTTCCATAGTGATTCTTGTTTTGGCAACTGTTCCCTTTTCTCAGCTTACTTATTACTGCTTGTTTACAAAAGGGCTGTCTATAACTGCACAGGCCTGGAACTTGTACATTAGCTTCCAAATAGGGACAGCATAGCAGCCCTCTCTTATAAGAGATTTAGGCCACTAAGGGTGTTTGAAGCTGGTGCCCTACAGATTTGTAAGGGTCTTGCTGGCATGGAGCAGCTCTGAGACTGGTTGTTATCTCATTTGGACCCCAGAAGAAAACTCTAGTGGGGAGAGGAGGAGCCAGACACTTAATCCTGAAGGACCTGTAGGGACAAAAATGTTTACAGTGAGTACAGAGAACACATTCCTGACTTTTTTATTTTATTTGAGAAAGAAATTACAAGAGATGGGAGAGAGAGTTGGACAACGTTGATGATGATGTAGCTGCATTTCTTGTCTCCTAGTTTGGTCAAAGAACATACTCCTGATTTAGATGTGTCTGTTTATTCAAGTGGAATGAATTTCTGCTAAGTCAGGTTTTGACTTTAGACTGCTGAATTGTCAGGAAAATGGCAGAATCTTTTCTTATTAGTAAGCAAACTATGGTGTGTTTCTTCTGTCTCTGTAGGATGATCAATAAAGCATGATGGGGAAAACCTTCCCACAAATTAAAATAAAGAGAAAAACCTTCAAAATCTTT